TCCCAGGCAATGTCGCAGCTCTTCCGAGGAAGCAGAGGAGCCGCAAAGCGAGGCAAGGCTGATGCTGGTTTTGGGCCGTGTACTTTGAATGGAACGCCGTATCCTTCTTCGAGTCATGAAGGCTTCTATATTGGGGATTCAGGTCTGGGGTTGTTGGCCGTTTAGTTTAGTTTAGTTGGTTTATGGGCCCTTTCCGGGATGGAAGAGTGCAGCAATACCATGTGCTTGAGGCATCATTGTGTTCCCCTTTTTTGGACCCTGTTTGGGGTTCTTGACGTTTTCTGAATTTTCATATGGAGGTCCATGGTAGGGCTTTGGGTGTTTTCATTTCGTGTTCATGCTTGAGTGCTTTTGGGCAGGAGTGCGGCTAGCAAGGTTTACAGTCTACACGGTCTGGATTTACAGTTTTCTGTTTAGGATGACAGGTGGCGAGCTTGGGCGCGCACGTGTCTGTTTTTCTGTCTGTTTGTTTTTCTGTCTGTTTGTTTTTCTGTCTGTCTGTCTGTCTGTCTGTCTGCCTGCCTCCCTGCCTGCCTGCCTGCCTGCCTGCCTGCCTGCCTGCCTGCCTCCTGCCTGCCTGCCTGCCTGCCTGCCTGCCTGCCTGCCTGCCTGCCTGCCTGCCTGTCTGCCTGCCTGCCTGCCTGCCTGCCTGCCTGCCTGGCTGGCTGGCTGGCTGGCTGGCTGGCTGGCTGGCTGGCTGTCTGTCTGTCTGTCTGTCTGTCTGTCTGTCTGTGCGCGCTGCTTTTGGATGCGTGCGGCGACTGGTCTTTCTACTTGCAAAAGCACGATTCAGCATTTTCTGCTGAATTTACCAGCAGCAGCAGCAGCACCACCACCGCCACCACCACTACTACCACGACTGCTACTCTGTAGTGCTGTAGACACTGTAGTTGTCGCTAGATCCTCGCGATTGCTTCTGTCCACGCCAGCATTTCTCCGATTAGTTAACCGTCAACCTCTTTGCCGATCTTTTGCTTTACGCTGCGGTTCCGTTGATTTGTCAACAGATGCAGCACAGGTCCCAGCTGCTGCACTGGAGTCCGATTCTCGGGGTCTCACGGGAGCTACGGCTAAGGTGTATGGTTAGGGCTGTGCTCTTTGGTTGTTTGGAGGTGGGTTGATCTGGCAAATTGTTGCCTGGTGGTGACATACGGCTTCAGAAAACCAGCTGGAAAGTGCCCGGCCGTCACCTCAAATCAGCTGCATGCCTGAGACGGTAGATGGCGCGGTATGTTGGAACTGCTCCAAGAGTAAAAAGCCATGATGCTGGCTCCAACAGCAGCCATGCAACCCCGTTCCTGTGTGTTATGTCGCTGGTGCAAGCATCGAGCGTGCCATTTCTGTTGCTCTTGTTGTTGCGACCGTATTTCCGATCAGCATCTTGCACATTGTGAGGCAATCGGGCCATTGGATGTTATTGCTGCTGGCTTTGGAGAAGTTGCGTTGTCCATAATGTGTTATGTGCTGTGACTCGACAGCTTCGCACTTTAGGTTTTGCGCCCTTTCTCTCAGCAATCGTGCTGCAATTCACGTGATCATAAAGCGTTCAGCTTTTCTTTTGTCGAGCAGCAACAACTGAGCAACCTGTGTAATTGCACATCCCGACGATTCTAAGCTCAAGAGGAAGTCTAGGCTCCTGTGGAAATCCCTCCACTTTTCTTCCCGGGGCTTCGCTCCTTTGAAAGATTGTTCGGCTCCTGGGGCCAAGGGATGCGGCCAAGCTACGGTGCTTGCGCAGTGGAAGATCGCACCCAGCATTCCCCGAGCCGCCATCTCCGTCGAATATCATTTTAGGGTTCTATGATTTCAGCTTGAGATGTAAGTATCAGCAACACGCAGCTGTGTCTTTTGTTTCAGTTGCTGTGGCTGTCTTCGTCCATCCTGGACAGCTTAAGACACCCCAAAAACCCAAAGCCTGAGTCCCAAACCCAGCCGTTTCGAATTCAGGAGTGCGTCCGACGGACACAAGCCACGAGGGCAAAAGAGAGCCCTAAACCCAAACCTCCAGGAACCACGCGTATTGTGAGGCAAAGCCCTTTGTCCTTCGACGAAGACGAGGAAGCCGATCGCCAGGCCGACTTGCAAAGACCCACTAACATACTTTAGTAGTAACATATAGTAAAACATATAATATATAATATTACAAACTACTGTATAATATATTATAGGTTGATGTATAATAAGATAATACAATATATCTTAATGCACAGGATTTTGTAGGGTTCAGGCATGATCGGGTATGACTACCTGATCCTTCAGCCCGATTGCAAATTCTTGTGCCAGAAGCGGCTGCAGAGAGAATCTCTGCACCATCATGAAAGTTTAGGTTCCTTCCATTCACGTAGAAAGGAACAGATCAGTTGTTCCAACAATGGTGATGTTGTCCCGGTTTCCCAACTTCCCAGACGACCTTTCATCGCTCCTAAAAATCGCACCTGCAGCATCTCTCCCCTAGACCACGGAGTGCCAGTGCCTCATAAATACCCCATATTGAATCTGGAAACAGAATGCTGCCAGGCTCCGTCGCGGAGCGTCGAAGATGGGAGGCACAGCCCCCGGTCCGTTGCATACAGTCTTACACCAACAGCAACGGACAGTACATGACAATTTGCAAGCTACCTACGTGTACGCTCATACATGAGTCAGTGTTCGCCTTGGTTTTGGGTGAGGCAGAGCCCTCTGGCTTTCGACGAAGAGGACGAGGATGAGAAAGCCAAGGCGAAGCAAGGACAATCAGTGGCAACACACGATGTCCCAGAGCCTGTTGGACCAAGCCTACCTGTCCCTCCCTATCTGTCTGTCTCCCTCGTTGTCTTCCTCGATCTCTTTCTTCTCTCTTTTTGTCTCTTTCTCTTTCTCTCGCTCTCTCTCTCTCCCTCTCTCGCTCTGTCCCCCTGTCTCTCTCTCTCTCTCCCTCCTCCTCTCTATCTATCTCTCAACCCCTCTCTGCCTCCTTCCCTCTTTCTCCTTCTCTTTCTCCTTCTCTTTCTCTCACTCTCTCTCTCTCTCTCTCTCTCTCTCTCTCTCTCTCTCTCTCTCTCTCTCTCTCTCTCTCTCTCTCTCTCTCTCTCTCTCTCCCTCTCTCTCTCTCTCTCTCTCTCTCTCTCTTTCTATCTCTCTCTCTCTCTCTCTCTGCCTCTCGCTCCCCGTGTGTCTCGGTACACAGATGCGCAAACATCTGTGTTTGTCTGTCTCTCGTCCATCTCTGGCTCTCTCTCTCTCTCTCTCTCTCTGTGTCTCTCTCCCTCTCTCTCTGTCTCTCTTTCTCTTTCTCTTTCTCTTTCTCTTTCTCTTTCTCTCTCTCTCTCTCTCTCTCTCTGTCTCGCTCTCTCTCTCTCTCTCTCTCTCTCTCCCTCTCTCTCGTGTTCTTGATCCGGGTCTCGTGCTGGCAATCATGCACTCGCGTCTTCGTTGTATGTTTTCATTTGCCATGTCTTGAGAGCTGTCTTTGTGCTGAGGGGATGTCCTTTGCCTTGCAGTCATCGCAGCTCCGAGCATCCTTGTCGCTGCAACGAATTCGACGCCCTCCCCTAAGCCCTTACCCCGCTTATGATCATCACCATCAGTTGTTCTTTCACCCCCGACGACGATTCATTGCTTGGTTTCCACACTGGAGGCGGCGCCAGCAGCGGAGACCAGCAGGCACCGGGGAAGACGAAGCATGACATTATGTCAATGCTGGTTCTCCCAGATTCTGAAGAAAGGCATCGCGTAGGGTAGGAAGGCAGCCGAGATGCAACTGTGACTTGTGGGGAGCTTGACCGCACTCGTAAAATCGGTGCTCGTCAAATCGGGATTGCCGAAGGCAGAGCGCCTTCGCGTTCGACGACGAGGACGAGCTGGAGGCACAAGTATATCACGAACAGACTGTGAATTTGGCTGACCTCAGAGTAGAGCTTCTAATTACTGTACCATGCCTCTTGGATGCTGCAACAGTTCCTCAAGCGGAGCGTACACTTGCAGTTGCCCGCGTGGCTCTTTGGGGAAGCTATAGCACTTGCAGCAGTTCCAATAATGACAAAAAGAAGACGAGGAATATGAACCATGATCATGATATTAGGTAGCAGTGGACGTGCTGATGGTGATAAGGGGGTGGTGCTGCTGCGTCTCCCGCCGCTACTGCCATGACAACTACCACAAAACTAATACGACAAACCACAACGACGACAACCAGCACCAGCACAGAGACGATGCCGACGACGGCTACTGCTATCACTGCTCCCCCCGACTCGTACAGTTTCTTCTAACACCACCACCGCCTCAACGACGAGCCTATGCAGGCCACGGCTCCAGCTGCAGCCGAGACCGCGAGGTGCCATCGGCGGTGCCTGTGCTGGGGTTGGGACTCAGCGGATTTCGGGAGAGGGCCTGGGTGGCCGTCCGAACGTGATCAGCATCACCAGTTTCTGGATGAGAGGCATTACAAGCTGGAAAGTTGCAGAGTCGGGCTCCCAAGCCTCCGGCGTTCCTCTTTGAAACACTAGGATAGCCTTCTGCACACTAGGAGCCCGGTCTGTAGCTCTTCTGATCTCCCTTCCTACTTCGATCGCGCATCCCACGCGAGCTGCTGACCTTGGGAGCGGACCACCCCCTCGACCTTGTGAGACAATACAAGGTGATTTGTAAATTCGTTTTTTCCACTCTGGCAGATAGCAGTCCACTTTATCGTGGTTTCTGCTTTGTTTTTTGGAAGTCCTTGAACTCATCCAACATAGGAGCCTCAGAAGTGTTGGTTGCAAAACAATAGGATTGTGGCTCAATATAGCCCAGAAAACACTCGACACTACAAAGCGCCACGGGAAGATGACATTGTTGGGATTGTTTTTCGTGACGGAGGGGGGGGGAGGGAGAGGGGGGGGGGACTGGGTTCCGGTTTTCTGAAGGTCCCATCTGTCGGATCTAGCAATATGATCTGCTAGTTTGGAGGCATACTCCCTTGACCTTCGAGGATGACGATGACGAGGACGAGGCCTCGAATGTCCACTGGAGAGCAATTACTCAACAACTGCTACATGGTAGTATCTGCTAGGTCTGCTGATATATCACAACAGGCATGTTGGATTACATTATCCGAGGAGACACAACCGCGTCTATTCAAGACTGCACATCAACAGAAGCAGTCCAACTCAGTCATGAGACACCGCCAAAATCTTTGCAGCAACGTGAATGATAGCGAACATTGGTCGCGGCAGCACAAAAACCGTTTCGTGCTGTTTGTTGCGGGTTTTTTTTGTTGGTATGTCGGTCCGCAACATGTTCACAGAAGGCCCTGATGAAGACTTTGCAATAGCAATCTTGGTAGCTGCTAGCAGTCGTAGCAGTACATAGTGCAGTGTGAACTGATATAAAGCAAAATGCACCAGTCCATCAGGAACGCCGTGACAAGAGAATCAGGAGGGTGAATGTACGCGAACTGGGTGGAGCAAGTCTGAGTCTACCAGGGACCGAAGTCTTCTTTAGCAGAGCCCCACTTCTGTATCAGAGCCTGTGGCTCCCAGAAGTTCAGTGTCCGGGGTCCTTAGGTTCAGGGCCGGAGTTTCGTCAGTGGGTATCAGGATTGGACGTTGCATGGCGTTGGATTGCATTTTATTTCTGCTGCATGGGAGCAGGTTATAATGACTGCTAATTCCATGTTCTGTGACGGCGCGTAAATCGCATGCGGCCTTCTCATGGGCAGTCGTTGCCCCCGCGTTATTCGCTGACATGTTCACGATCCCTCGAACACTGCGTAGCCATCTAGAGCCTTCGTCACAAAGCCTCAGAAGCTACACCAGCAAAGGTGCCAGCTGCGGCAACTGGGCCGGCCAGGCTCGAGGGAAGGGTTTGGGTGGATCGTTGCTGCGGGATGCTGGTTTCAGATCTAGTCGTTACTTTTGGGATTCGGCTACGCGTCTCGAGTCTTTTGAGTTTAGTCCAGGATGAATAAGGTTTGGAGTCATAGCCGCGACCACCGCCTGCAGCGTCATGAGCCCCACGTAACGTCGCGACAAGATTCAAGCAATCGCAGGGCTTGCGTTCCTGAAGCTTCGATCGTGGAATGCACAAAGGGAGGAAGCTTGAGATAGATACGACCCTGTGTTGGAGGGCTGTTGTCTTAGATATCAGGCAGGCAGGATTGCCAAGCTTTCGTTGTAAGCACCGCTGTATTCACTGCGACGAAGACGACAACAACACAACAACGACGACCACCACCACCACGCAAAACAACAACACTTCCACGACCTGTGACGGAACCATCATCCACCGAGTCTGTTCGAGCGGCACTGAGGCAAGCTCCTCTGGCTTTCGACGACGAGGAAGAGGCTTCCTGGGGTAGGGGTGGTGGTCCTGAGAGTCTTTGTCTTTGCATGAAGTTCTTCCCTGGGCTTGAAGCAGACAAGTGACAGTCACTACTAGTCTATTCTATTCAGTCTTTTCTATTCTATTCTGTCAGCCGCTGAGGCGCCTCTTCCTGCTGAGACGGCCAGGCTCGCCGGGTCAGGTTGAAAATTTAGGGCTGAAGGGGCTTGGGGTTCTTCCCTCTCAGTGTGCATCCGGCACCGACCTGTCCAAAGGGGCTCGTGTAGCGTCCCTGGTTCCTGGCCCCTTCCGGTGTCCTGAAGAACTAGGCCAAAAAAGTATCAGAAGATACCATGGTGGGACCCACAAGGCTTTGAAAAGCACCCGAAACCTGCACGGATTGGAGATCTCACGGGCCCGGTCGTGTAATTCACGGCTAGTACTCCTGGTTTTGCTTAACGCCCGAATCCTGCTGGCAGAGGAAGGCGGAGTATTTTGTGTGCAGACCGCGACTTGATCTTTGCATGTCAGCACTCCTCGGCCCCAAAAGCCTCGATCCGTCGCGTTTCGGAGGCAGGCACCACTCAGCTTCGGCGACGAAGACGAGGGGGAAGAGGAGGCATAGCCGGCATATCCAGAACATCTGGCCAATTTATAGCGAGGTCACCCGGTAAAGCATGTCTTGCCTGGGAGCCAGTGGCTGTTTGAGCAACGTCACAATGTGGATGAAAGCAAGACGGAGCAACACTGCGCTTCCGGCAGATGCTATAGAAATATATTATTGGTGTAATCTAGTCAGTAACTAGTCTGGACAACCGGCTACGACTGCATGCCATCGGTTCTGTTCTGCACAGGTCCCGGAAGCCTCGCCGCAGACGAGCAGGTGGATCCGAGAGTTCGAGTATGCTTGAGTCATCTTCGTCAATCCGACAATCATCACCTCTTCCTTCCGACTTGCCTTTCAGAATCCAGAATAGGTCTAGTACGACGACGACTACTACTACTACCACCACCACTACTGCTACAGCTACAGCTACAGCTACAGCTACAGCTACTGCTACTGCTACTGCTACTGCTACTGCTACTGCTACTGCTACTGCTACTACTACTGCTGGTGCTGATACTGCTACTAATAATAGATATGAATAATAATAACAATAATAAGATAATAATAATACCAGTAAAGATAATCATGGTACTAATGAGAATAGCAAGAATGGTACTAACACTAAAACAAGTAGTATTGACAATATGTGAATTGTAGCGCTAGTCACAACAAAGTCGGTTTGACAGCCCTAGCCTCGTCTATTCAGGTCATCGTTTGGTAGTCCTGATGATCGTTTGCGGCTTAACTGACGAGCTCTGAGGCAGAAGTTGTCCTAAACCCTTAACCCTTAAACCCGTCAGCCCTACACCCGTCAGCCCTTAGACTTAAGACCCTAAAGAATGGGAGTGCGTCTTGTCGGCAAGATGTCTGCAGGCCCTGGGCGTCGGCACAGAGTGAGCCCGTGGAGCCCGAGGATGCGGGAACCCGAGCTTACAGAAGATGGGCCACACCTGCGTGTGTAACAAAAGTGCAGGTTATCGTGATCATCATTACCATCTTTGGTTTTTGTCTTTCTCCTTCCCCGCTGCTGCTGTTGCTGCTCCTCCTGTACTGGTACTGAGACTGGTACTTACTGGTACTGCTGCAACTACGACTGCTGCAACTACTACTGTTACTACTACTGTTTCTACTGCTCTGCAACTGCTACTGCTGCTACTGCGACTGTCACCGCCACCGCTACTGCTACTGCTACTGGCGAAGTGCCACTGTCACTGCCCCTGCCCCGGCCCCTGCCCCTTGCTCCTGCCCTGCTCCTGCTCCTTGCCCCAACCCGTTTGAGGACTCGTCTTATCCGTTTTGTTGGTACGAGTCCGGTCGTTAAGCTGCAAGTTGTACTCGTAGTGTATTTGTTTCTTGCTCAGTTCACTGGTAGTGCCAGGCGCTGAATTTGTTCCCAGCCCGCATGTGCGAACCCGATTTGTCAAAGACTTTGACGGCTCTGTGCCGACAGAACCTCATGACTAAGACAAACGTTTCGCATCTCGTTTCGATTATGGCCGTCATGATAGGTTGTAATTCCTGGTCATCATCTGCACCATTGTCATCACCATCATTGTCATCATGATCACTGTTATTGTTAGCATGCAGATGAACTCGCACATGATGGTATGCCTGCCATCTAGGAGGACGATGATGAGTTTGCGGACTTTGCCAGCGCGGAAGCCTCAGGTTCCTTTTGACGGGTTTCTCGAGGTGCGCTACTTGCATAGTACCCTTCACTTTGCGGCTGGTGGTCCTTGGTGCTCTTCCGCTCTGCGTGCCCTTGCTGCTAGCACTGGCACTGCCGCCGGCGTTGCTTCAAAACCATCTTGTTGTGCAAACTTTAGTTGTTTTGAGGCGGGGAGTCCACCGACGGTGTCCCAGCCCAGCGCTCCAGGCGCTTGTTGATAGCAAGCTTGGGATGAAGCTATAGACAAAGGCCATGGAGGGATCCGGGGCATCGCTGAGACGACGCAGTCAATTCTCCTTTGCGCTCTTTGCTTGCCTACGTCCCTTTGGTAGGTGCCAAGGACGAAGAGGAGGAAGACGAGAAGCGAGCTTGGCCTGCATTGAATCTTGTGAGCATGAGCTCCTGGGAGCCCAACAACCCTCCCGGGCTGCATTTACGGAAGGCCCGAGCAGGTGGCCAAGTCTGGCAGCCAAGTGTGAACGTTCTGGGGCGAATCCATCGAACGTCCGTTCCATCGAAGTTTTGGTGTTAGGCACCGACGGTTTTCATGCATGAAAACTTCCCTGGCAGTTGGGCCTTCAGTGCGGCGCCGACCTCGCCAGAACCTTCTGCAGCCAACATGGAGGCCTTTAACTCGCGTATGTTACGTGTGTGTGTATATATATCTATATGGCAGCGAGTCAAAAACTTCTGGTATGTAACAGGGCCGGGGCGCCCCTCGCGCGACAAAGCATGTAACAAAAGCGGGTTTCTGCGACAAGGCTGGCGCAACAAGGTCCATCATATTATCATATATGAATGTATGCATGTGAACATCGAAATAAACATAATTGTGTATATATGCAGGTATGTAGGTTCTGTGTAGTAGTAGTAGTAGTAGTAGTAGTAGTAGTAGTAGTAGTAGTAGTAGTAGTAGCAGTAGTAGCAGTAGTAGCAGTAGTAGCAGTAGTAGCAGTAGTAGCAGTAGTAGCAGTAGTAGCAGTAGTAGTAGTAGCAGTAGTAGTAGCAGTAGTAGTAGCCGTAGCATGTAGTAGTTGTAGCAGTAGCGGGAGCAGGAGCAGGAGCAGGAGTAGTAGTGGTATTGTCAATAGCAGGAGTAGAACATCCGCAGCACCAGCACCAGTAGCATTTGGGCAAAGGGGCATGGGCGAGGGTTTCCGTGGGTTTGCTCGGTTTTGGGCGGGTTTGGTTGTGCTCTTGGCGGTTTTTGGTCATTAAAAAATATCGATTCCGGTTGGGGAAAGGGCCCAAATGACGCCGCCGGAGATTGAGCCCGCGACCCTGCCTAATACCTTTGCTTGAGCGGCCGCCACCATGTCCACCTAATACAAGTTCTCCTCAACGTCCTGTTTGTAGAGGAGCTTGCGAACTCAGTGCAGCAACTTCTTTCCCGGTCCGGGTCCCAGGAAGAGGAGCCCTTTGACGGCATCGGGTTTGGGATGAAAGATTCTTGATTTAGGTTTAGGATGTAGGGTTGTTGATCTAAGGTGTACGGTCGATTTCGGGTACAGCAGAAATAAAGCCTGATGGTGAGCTATGCGTGCGCCGTGATCCCATCCTCACATGCGGTTTGGTCAAGTCTCAACTTCCGAAGTGCATTGAGCTTCCTCATCAAGGGATCCTCATAAGCATCTTTCAGCAGATTGGAAGAGCTTGCTAAGGGTTGCTCCTGCCGGATCCTCGCCATTCTCACGTGGCTCATGTGAGTCCCGATTTGTTGGATCACCCTGCAGTGTACCATCTGAGCAAATCCAGGATGGGTGGCTCCTCGTTACGATGGTTTGAGGTACTTAGGGTTTAGGGTAGAGTTGAGGGGGGCTTTAAGCCTTGCGGAATAGTCAAGTACGGCAGGTGGAACGAAGTTGCGAAGCTGGCGACAGCCGGGCTGGCTATGTCCTTGGAGGTGCCAGAATACCCGACTCGTCGGGTGTGGGGTATAGGATTTAGGATTTGGGGCTTTGGGGTGTTTTTGTTGAGGGGTTTCGGGCTGAGGACTTAAAGCAGAAGCCGGAAGGTTGGAGCATCATTATCCCCAAGCCGTTAAATAGTCAGGTACGGTATTGGGGGAATGCACCACTCATCCTAAATCTATACCCTAAATTCCTAAATCCTCCTAAAAAGAATCCTGTCTGGGGTTCACTGGGCCCCGGCAACCCCGGATCCTGCTACAATGCCGCGCCAGGGAATATCTATCGGAGCCGCAGGAAACATCTGATCATGCCAATCTTGTACCGTATATCCGCAGTATAGCCCATAACATACTGGGGAATAGCACACGTGCTTCCCGAGCCTTAATAGTAATTGCCAATACTATTTTGGGGGTTCCTTATTATATTAAGTACAATATAGTGGGCCCCAAAACCCTTTCCTAATTATGAGTGCCCCTATAGTGCAGCTAGTTGCATTCATCCTGGCCCATCCCCCCTGAAATACAGGACGACGGTGCGGCCGGTGAGGAGGCCGGGGAAGACCTGGCAATGGCTTTCCTCGGGGCCATGTACCTCCACATAGATACATCTATAAATTTGTATGTATATATATATATATATATCTATCTATCTATCTCTCCTCTCTCTCTCTCTCTCTCTCTCTCTCTCTCTCTTCTATACATATGTATATATATATATGTATGTATATATATATATATATATATATATATATATTACAGTTGGGCCCTGAAGTACTTAACTAGGGAGTACTTTGGGGCCAAAGTATGTGCTATACGAGTACATGAACCGTCAGGGTTTAGGAAGTTTAAGGGCACTACGAGATAAGCACAGCCCCCTCACTTCCGCTACCACGAGGAGGAAGTGTGCACATGTTGGCATTGACATGCAGTGAGAGGTATTTCCCTAGCGCGCCTACATCCCGAGACGATGGGATGCTTCAGTCTCTGTGTAAGCTGTAGAAGTCCTTGAGCTTCAAGACTGCAACGGAGTTTACCGGCCACAACGTGCAAGCCCTCGAATTCTAAACCGGGTGCTACTTCGACCCTGAGTCCTACATAATCATACTCCAATATGGTAGTTTCCGAAAATTAGGGGTGCTGTTTTTGGGGGTGCTTACAATAAGGATCCTATTAATTAGGGTGCTATATTAGGGTCCCCGATTTTCGGAAATCCCCATATACTGGCAAACCTTGTTCCAGTGCTGCAGACCTGTATAGAATCTCGAATGACACCAAAGCGATTGCAGCTTCTCAGCCAGGTGCCAGGCTCAGACGACTGCATCCGGGCCGCAGTGCACATGCCCGAGGAGGCAGAGGGCATGAGGGGGTTCGAGTTTAGGGTTGGGGCTTTGGGTCGCAGGTTTGGGGTTCGGGGATTTGATGGGGGGGGTGTAGGATTTTGAATAGCATAGGCGTGCCGGGAGCTTAAGTTGAGGTTCCCTGCTTGCTTGCTTCATTCTTGAAGCTGCAGAAGGCATCATGATCGAACTCGTCAAGCCAAGACAAAACACACGACTCACCCGGGGAGGTTCTGCAAGGGTCTTGGATGTTATGTCGCGGCTACAGTCTCCGAGGTGCCAAGAGCAGCCTTTTAGTCTCTTGAATTGAGCAGGCCGCGCAGTTAATCCAGTCTGGGGTCTCCGACGGAGCTGCCCGGAACTCGGCGGCTTGGAGCCGTGGAATTGATGGTGCTTTTCTCAAGTACTTCAAGATGACAAAGCAGATTGTCTGTGTATTGAGAGTCCAGCCTGTCACTATTCGCGCGAGTGCCAACATCAGTTAGTACCAATCTTCAACTAGGATGCCCAGTAGTGCCCTTCTTCCCTTTATGTAGTCCTAGGTTCCTTATACCGTTACCCAATACCAAAACGGGAGCCCGTTTTATTCCTAGGTTACTGGGCATCCTAGTCATACTCAAGTGAGTGGGCTGACGAATGCGACGCACGAGACTCCGAAGCACTCATCTCTTCGGCCCAACTTGGACCTGCCGTGCACGCAGAGAATGTCGATATCATATGATAGTCTCATTGAGGCAATCACGGATTACATACCCCCTCCCACCTCAACCAGTCCCCAACCCTGTTCTAATCATCTCGGCCCCGATGCTATTAATCCACGTAGAGCAGGAGGCCTCTAGAAATCCTTTTTCAGGAACCCTTGTTTCAGGCCCCATTTGAACTATTAAGGCGTCGCGTCTTTGTCTATACTCCTGGCGTTCAAGGTCTCTTCGCTTCCGCTCGGCCTTTTCGGGGCTCCCGCAAGCCCAGACTCATCGCCTGAGCCTTTGGTACGTGTTGCGGGAAGATGCTTTAGCTGCATGAGGGTTTCGGCAGGAGCTTTTCGAGAATGCACCAGCTTCGCTGGGACACGATAGTCTTGCTTAAGAAGTCTGACAGTGCTAGGCTTCGAATGTCATGTACGGTGTCGTGATCTCATGCAAGAGAGCTGTGCCAGCACTCGACCCTGGGCCCGAGGTCTTTGGGTAGCACCGTCAGGGAAGGCTTCTTCGCTGCCTTGGGAAAGCATTTGCAGCTGCCCAGCGCTAAACCCGAGGCTGGGAACTTGGGGGTGCCATAGGCTTTGAATCGAAAGCTGGTGGACCTCCATGGACGATTCGTTGGATGTTTTTGAGTTTGGGATTTGGAGCTGAGATCTTGGGGTTGTTGGGTTTTGACGTCATATAAAAGCACTGAGTGGAATCGGTTTTATACGTATAGGGTGCAAGCTTCAGAAGGTGCACGAAAGATCGATGCTCGGTTACATTATGCACATGCATGCAGATGACTAACGATTGGTTTTCCGATGCGCTCGCAGACCTCGTGCACCCCCGTCAAGGGCCAACGGCACTCTTGCACTTGCCGGCAGATGCTGGCCAGCCATGCCAGTTAAGTGACTTATGGGAACGTCAGCCTTTCCGAAAAGCCGCATGCTGAGCTTTCGCTGCCGCGTGCAGAGACGGAGAAGCGGCACCTTTCCGGCCATTTCTGGAGCATTGTTGCCATGCGTTGTTGACAGTTTTCTTGATACGCGTTCTGCGCCGATCTGAAAGCGCGCTTCTTGTACCTCCACGAAAAACGCAAGGCCACGATTCCTGTTCCGATGATTCTTCAATTACCATCATCAGGCTGCTGCTACCTCGCCGCAGACGAGCCGGCCAAGTTCACCACAAACTCTTGCAGGCAGCGGGCGGATTTTGTGTCAAGGATGAGTGTAAGGAAATTGTAGTAACTGTAGCAGTCGTCGTTGTCGTGGTGGGTATGTATGCTGGCCCTCGCGACCGGAGTCGTGTGATACGGTATACAAGACTTGGAACTATGCCTAGACCATCAGTCGCCGAAGCGGAACGTCAAGTTTGAGCTGAGCGCAGGAGTGTCTGCGGTGCCGGCGCAAGTGGTGGGCCAGGTTCGGGAGCTCAGGCTGCTCAGGGCTGGACTGCCAAGATGCAGGGGATAGTACTCAGGGAAGGTTTGGCTCCTACGAATCTGAGATCAGACACGGCACCTTGAGGCCTTGCCTTTGGTTTTGTGGAGAATCACCGGGTCGGGAGAACGGCGACCAAATGTGATGTTGGAACATGCCGAGTAGTGTTCATGATATGCCGGTTTCATGACGAGAATGCCGGGCAAGACCTCAAACTCCTCTGAACGGTTCAATCCAGTGCAGATCGAAAACAAAGTGAGCGACAGGGTGGATCATGTTCGTACCATGAACCAAGTAGCAATAGCAACACGGGGACTGATGGCGACAGTTGTAAGCGCTGTTCTGTTGTCGTCATTAGGAATCGAGCCGAAGCTCGGAGATTCAAAGCCTCTTGAGCACGCCGATCCTAGGCAGCTCCCGTGCAGCCCGCGGGCGCAGAGGAGGCACGACTTTGTGTTGAGCTGAACGTTTGAGGATGAACTACGGAGCGGGATGTGGCACAACAGAGACAGCTTCTGCTTTCTGGATCCCGTGGCTGCGCCGCTTCCTGGATGTGCATTGTCACCCGTGTTTGTTCTCTGTGTTCTTCTGTGAAACGACACATTTTGAGAGGTTTCAGGGGCTTTCGTCACAAGTTTGCCTCGAAGCGGTCAGGGGACCTGCTCTTTGACCCCTTCGAGCACCCTCTGGCCTGGAGTCAATGATTGGCCTTAAGATTGGCCAGATTGGCCCCTCCCCCTCCCCAGCTTCCCCAGCTCCAGCCTTTCCGCAGCCCCACCTCAGTCATTGCTGCCAAGACTGCCAGGCCTAGGCAGACGACGCGGAGCGTTTACAAACTAAAGAGCTGTGACGAGGAGCCAGACGTTCCGAAGAGTCGGTTGAAGGGCGCAGCTGGCATATACTGGTGGCCAACCAAAAAGCTTAACTTCGAAACGATCATCTGAACCCGTGTTGACAAGGCAACCATCCCGGCGAAAAGAGCCGAGCGGTTCATGCACCAACCAGGATCGAGCCTTTAAGCCGTGGCGCCCCGAGCAGAAGCTCAAGAACCACAAGGCTTGTCTACCCGTCTACCCAGTTCAACAAAACTTCCCGGCCGACGCACAACAGATGCTGTTGCGGCAGGAGCGTATGTCCTGTCATACTGTATGTCCAAGAAGAATTACCCTGGCTTACTGATGGCACTTACTGTATGTATCCAAGCCGATCGCACAGCCAAAGCCTCGGCTCCTCCCGTTCACTTGCAGCCTGTTTCGCATGGCTTTGTAGTGCGTTCTGTCACGGCAAGAAGTCACGTCTCTCAGTCAGGCCATGGCAGATGTGGACTTTGGCTTCTTTGAGGTGAGCACCACCCCGAAAGCGCCGAGCTCAGTTTGAGACGCAGCCGAGTCGCCATGCACACAGCCAGTGTATCATGTAGTTGGATTCGGCAGGGGTTCGTGTTCAAGGTCTTCGGATTTTCCGCGATCTTCTGGGCCTTTCGGAAATTCTGCTTTTCGGATAGGTGGGTGGGGTCGGGCTATTGACGTCCGTTTTTTCTGCATCCTCTTGAGCATGTTTACCATGTTGGGTATGTGTTGACGGTGCCGTTTGCTGCACTGTCAAGCTGATGGTCCTTCTTGTCAGGGAGGGGGCGGAAGGGGGGGGGAGGCGGGGATGATGACGTTCAGGATTGGAATCACGATGATGTTGCTGTTTGCAAAGATGTTGGCCATGATGACAATGCTGAGGTGCTGATATGATATGTTTTCCTTCAGATAAGTGTAAGCCAAGCCTAAAAGATCCCTACGCTCCGGACAAGACTGCTTTCAAGCAGTCAGGTGTTGACCAGCGGGACTCGTGCTAAACGCAAGAAGTGAAGCTCAAACGAAGTGCAAAGAGTGAAGCTAAGAGAACTGATTATATTACTTCCGCGCCTAAACTATCATTTTTGTCCCAAAGACCCTCTTGAAGCCTACACCCATGATCTGTCGCGTGTCCCGATGTTTCCGTGCTCTCAAAGTCATGAAAATGTAGGGGCGCCCACGCGCCGCGCACCACGTAGTTCATACGTTCGCATGATTCATTATTAACATACCCAACTGCTGCATGTTGCTATTCGCTGCTCAGACAACTGCTTCGCCACGTTTAAAGTTTCCGTTCTGCATTCACGTTGTAGTGAAGGTGGGCCGGCGAGATTGCAATTCCAGATTTGCCCAGTCGCTCGCCAGGTGCCAGCAGCACCGACGCAGGTCTCATCAAGTCTTCGCCCAAGCAAGACACAGGCTACCAAGCACATAGGCCATCAATCTAGCGATGGTGAGTGTGATCACGATCGCCCCTCAGATTCTCCGAGGGTATGGAGATGAACAGCGCGATTCGCTTTGTTTCCATCAGTGTCAGAATGCGGATGATGATGATGATGATGATGATGGCGATGCTGATGATTGTGATAATGGTGATGACGGTGGAGCTGGTGTTGAAGTTGCTGTTGTCGTTGTTGATGATGGTAGTATATGATGATTACGATGATGATGATGATGATGATGGTTGCGGTGATGTTCATGGTCGCGACAGATGATTGTGGTGACGACCAAGACAGTGATGATCAGGATGAGGCAGAAGATGCTGATGCTAATAACCGCGTGTGTGGTGAACGTCAGGATGTCGGGCGACAATTGTGATGCTGATGGTGGCGATGATGCTGCTGGTCGTGGTAGTCGGTGGCAAGGGTTTGTGGATTTGATCTTGGCTATGTTGTTATGACCACTTCTACTTCCGGGAGATCGTGTGGAAAGCTACCTGTTGCTCACCATGCTCGAAATGGCACTCGCTGATCCTCCAACTTGAGCCCGCTTCGCACTGTTCCGTTACAACCGAAAGCAAGTTTTCTCCCAAGTGCTCCAAGTCGTGGGCGGTGCTTTTGTCACTCCTGCATTTGACCGCTATGGTCATCCTTCTTGTGGTGTGCCTAGATGACTCTTATCACGGGTCTTTGTGCATTTGTCTCGGTCATCTATATTTGGTGGTTCCTGTGTCCATGGATGACAGGAGTGTGATGCAGGCTTATGCGTTCTGGAGAGACCCTGAAGCGAACCCCTACAGAGGCTGAGCAGAATCTCCGTGTGCCTTCGTCTAGGTACCTGTGTCCGTGCTTGTATGTTTATACATGTCGTATATCTGTATGCTACAAGTAGTGTATATATATATATATATATGTGTGTGTGTGCGCATGCGTGTGTATATTATATTTAAATATATATATATATATATATACATACATACATACATACATACATATATCATACGCAGACAGGAGCATTTTCTCTGAACTTCGGCAAGCAGCGCGCTTTGCATGCCAGCCTGCGCTTCACCCAAGAGGGCCGAGACAGGGTCTTCGACTTCTTCGCGCCTTGAGACCCATGTAAGGAAAAAGCACAGAGAGAGAGAGAGAGAGAGAGAGAGAGAGAGAGAGAGAGAGAGAGAGAGAGAGCGAGAGCGAGAGCGAGAGGCGTGTCCAGAAGTCCGCTCTGCGGGGGTGTCGGGGCAATATTCGCCTCCAAACACCGCTCCTTCCTTCAACCGATGGGCGTGCCTTTGCGAGGAGCACGCTCTCTCAGAGGTGCCTGGTGAAAGACGAATAGCGAGCATATTAATAAGGGCCAAGAACAGTTGAAGGTTTCGCGGACCTTGTTAGCATGGTGTAGTTTAGTGTGTGTGGCTTAGCGAATCTCGCTGTCTCCGGCAGGCAGGGTCAGCAAGACTCACTAAGCCGACAGCCATGGCAACAAACTTCAGAACTCTGTCTCCACTCCAATAAGAGGGGGGAACCACCTCTCTTCACCTTCAGAAAGAAAGAGTGAGCTTCCCAAAACACAGTCGACCCGAAACTGTAAGCCCTGAACCCCAAGATCCTAGACTTTTGAGGCCTTGACGCAGACGTGCTCTCGCAGGCTGGGGCATGCTTCTACCTGCAACGACCAGGGATGTCAGAGGTGAAGTAACCAGCTCCTTTTTACTCTGCTCTTTTTTGGACAGGGATTGTGCAATATTGCCCTTGCAGGCACTCTCTTCTGTCGGTCTCCAGAACACTGCGGCCACGTCCACAGTCAGTATGACGCCTGACATCGCGCTCACTGCAGACACAGGCCTGGAAATTGATGCTCGCATACTACTTCCTATGAATTTTTTATGGTACCTGAAGCTTAAATGGTCCACGCTTCAATGCTAAGGCTCTTGGGGCGTAGTGGAATTGACAATTGATCTTCGAGTGTTGTTGACTGACGCACTTGTTGATCTTCATGCTCTCCCCCTGCAGCAATCTTTGCCTCGCACTTGCGGGACGTCAGTTCGGCGGGTCACCTCACTCGTGCAGCTCTATTTCCAGCTTGAGGTATGGTTCTCAGGAATGATCTTTTCTCAATCCTACCATTGCTTCTGCCCACACACGCTAGGACTAACGGAGATCTTCTCGAGGTCCCCTGACCTGCGATTATATAAGTTCTGCATCGCCATTGCTGGCATTAGTCCGAGAATCAGACTTGGACCGCCGCGAGGAGTCCCCCGGGTCAAGAAGAAAAAGAAGGGCATGACTCAAAAGGCCCGAATTGCTGCGCTTCCTAACTCTGCAGTCTAAAGTCCTACGATTTACTGTTTCCGATTTCAATTTGAGACGATGGTTCGAGAGTTCAGGACAACACGCTTGGTTGCCTAATGTGTTCTGGTGTTGGCTGGTTTAGGGTTTACCGAGTGTAGTCTAGGCAGCACAATGAGTTTTGTCCCGGAGCTAGATCTGCTCTGCATTATCAACACGGTTTCCTTGTGAGCACATATACATGTCTATGAATATGTCCATACACAGGCAGACATGCACACACATACATGCATACATTTTCTCACACACAGGCAACCAGGCAGACAGATAGACAGACATACATGCATGTCATGAAATAGGTACATACACACATGCATGCATACATGCATATGTGCATACCTGCATAGAGACCCGCATGCACAGACACAATATCATACATACACGAAGATATCCGTCCATTGCAATACGTGCATACGTGCTCATGCGTAATTATACATGCATAGATACATACAAAGATACACACTTACCAATGTTTGTCTATCACGGTGTACATGAAAAACAACTTATTCGTTTCGTCACAACAGCTCATGAGTCTTGCTCGTGAGGTGAAGAGCTTCCTGTCGGGCCTTCCAGACCTCAAGCACCTCTACTCCAAGTCCGTTGTGGAATGAGCAGCCCTTTGCCGAGGACATGAGATGGTTTAGGCCGCACTCAAGTGGACATGTCGGCGAACTTAATGCAAGATTGTGGTTTCTCCCACCGAAGACGGCTCATGAGCCATCATGGACAGATTCTAGAAGCCATACAAGGCAGCCGTTCTCCAAAGCTGAGCTGTATCAGGCCAGCGAGAGAGCTTGGCTTTGTTAACGAGACTATCTGAGGCGGGTGACCTTTGAAGAGCTCGTAGTGCGCATCGCAATAGTGTTCTTACAGTACTGCAATTGTCTTTTGCTGTAGTTTGCGGCTGCCCCGCCTGAGTGTCACAACTAGGTGCGAGTTCTGGCTGTCAGCTACTCGGCTCCCCCGGTTCTGGTTTCAGCATACAACCACAACAGTAGATACAGCAGCCGAATGTTCTGATGACATGCTGTTGCGAAACGTTGCCGTTATAAACCAAAACTATGCCCAGATCTACACGAGTCCAGACCCTTCTAACTCTGGTTTAGCAATCCTTCGTTTTCAATACCGAGATTACAAACATAGATTTGTTTTCAACATCTATTTCGCGTTTGGTTTGGGTGTTCAGCTTCAGCCTATCGGAAGTCAGGGTTGGCACAGGTCGGAGTCTTAGCCTTTGAGCAGGAAGGTAGCACTGCTTGATGCATTGCGCACGGGGTTACCATGGTTCGGGGTTTGGGGGCCTGCAATTGATTCCGGTTTCACCCTGCAGCACCGCCCGCATGGGAGATCGGTCGCAAGAGCGTCGGCCACGATGGAAATGTGCAAGAATGCGGGTCGGAGACAACTCAAAATAGCAATGTGTCATGCATTATTCTGTCCTGCTGTTCTTACTATTCATGTTGTTCGTGGGACTGTGTAAGCGTTGCGACCTACGGTTGTCAATAGTAGCAGCGGCCAGGACCCTGACATACGATAGTACGAAGTTAGGTCTCGTTTGCGCCCTGACCCCCAAAGCCTAAACAGGGCAGCTGAACCCGAAACCTCTAAGCCCGGCACACCCTAAACTTGCAAATCCCCTACTCCAGCACAGCTCCCCCATGCGCAGCCGGAGTTCCCGCGCGGAAAGGTGTAGCGGGAAAAAGTGTCGGATCGCTTTGTGGTCCGGGGGAGTGTTTTTTTGCGGGTTTAGTATGTCTCTGCTTCTCCTACAGCTCCCAGACCCAGCTCTGAATCCAACTTCTCACGCAATCCTGTTCTGTTGCTCATGTCCACAGACACTACTGCGTTCGACCGTGTTGCTACTGCGGTCGTCCATGATTAGTTGGACCCCTCCGGCCTCGCGTTTGAAGAAGGCTCTGGCCGAGGGTAACTCCCAAGCCGAGAATGTGAACTGAATGTTCTCCTCAAGCCAGTCTCGTTTGCATTCAGCACGACAGAACCGGTAACGAGAACCAACGACACGGCAGCCGCAATGTCAGCGTCAGCAACATTCTCGAAAATCGTTTCGTCTCATCGCCATCACGACCCCATCAAAGTGATCATCATCGTAACCACCACCATCACCATCATCATCATCAGCATATGTAAGCAGCCAGTGCTGTAGCATCTTCTTGTCATTATAGTCGCATTGTGAGTCGCAAGCTTTTTCGTGTGATTCATTGAGCAGCACGCTTCCAACCGTGAGCACTCCTGCTTTTGGGCATGCAGTTGTGGTATTCGTTCGCGAATTGATGTACTGTAAGCTTGCAGGTACGGTGGCGCGTGGCTCTTCTCGGCGGCCACATCCGGCTGCTCGCTCCTCTTGCGAAGCCGCTGATGACGGTGGCCAAGGCACAGTGAGGTTCAATCCCAAACTCCAGTGATGCTGAAGCTGCCCTCACATGTACTCGCACTTCGCAGGTAAGTGTGCGCATCGGCTGAACTAAATCCTTATGCAGTCTTGGACTATGATAAAGCGTCAGCGTAAACATCCCATGCTTGTGTTTTCTCCTTGCATGACATACGCACCACGTCGGCTCGAGTTCTGCGCTTTGCTTGCCCGTGGACCCTTTGACTTCTGCGCCTGGTGTCTTTGGCTTGGAGGACTTGTTCAACATGACCTCGGCCGAGAAGACACGTGTTGCGCTTGTGGGCTTGGGCCGCGCGGGCCACTTCCACCTGCAATCTGTGGTGCAGCTGCCGCATGTGGTGCAGCTCTCTTGGGTTGTGGACGTCGATGAGGATAAGGCTCGGCGCATTGCAGCAGAACAAGGGTGCTGCTGGTCCACAGAGCTGCGTGAGGCGCTCGATGATGTGGACGCAGTTATCATCGCATCTGCGACGGATACGCACTTCCCGTACATCATGGAGTCCCTGCGAGCTGACAAAGCTGTCCTGGCCGAGAAGCCCATCTCCCACGAGCTGCATGAGGTCATCGAGGCTGTGGAGCTAGCAAAGAGTCGGAACCTGCCTTTCGTCTGCGGCTACCAGCGCCGGGCTGACCGCCACTTCCGAGCGCTAAAGCAGCAGCTGGATGCAGGCGCAGTTGGGAAAATGAAGTTGGTGAAGTCCTGCAGCCGTGACAACCCCCTCCCCCCGTTGGAATATCTCCGAACCAGTGGTGGCATCTTCCACGACATGCTGATTCACGACTTCGACATGCTTGACTTTCTCAGCAACGGAGAGGAGCCAGAATCGGTCACGGCCATCGGGCATTGCTACCACCCCGAGATTGAAAAGATGAGCGACATCGACACATGTGCGGTCATGTTCAAGTATGCCAACGGCATGATGGCCATGGTTGACACTAGTCGTGATGCCTCCTATGGCTACGACCAACGCATCGAGGTCTTCGGAGAGAAAGGAATGCTGACAGCCCACAACGAGCTCACCAGCACCGTGGAACTGGCCACAAGTGCAGGACACCTGCGACCACCGGCCATGTACAGCTTCCCACAACGCTACCTCCAGGCCTACAGATCCGAGCTCACGGAGTTTATGGAACTCGTGCGCGCCGGGCGTAGCAGCGAGGTGCATGCCAAGGAGCAAATCGCCATGCTCCGACACCCGGGTGTGGTTCGAGCGACCATGGCTGCAGAGCTTTCCTGGAAGCTTGGCCGCACGGTGCAGCTGGCGGAGGTCGTGAGTGAGGACTGTCACTCCCAGCAGACAGGCGCCAAGAACATGTTCGGAGACAGCTTCCGCAACTATGAGAACTCGGAGCGACAGGAGAAAGTGGCGGCCACTTACGGACTGATGCACCAGAATCAGACGGTCGAGTTCGTGCGAGAGCAGCGGGAGAAATGGTTGAAGTTCGATAAGGGCGAGTTCACGGTGATGGAGGTGATCTCCATGCTGGATGAGCTGGTGGACGATTCAGATCCTGATGTGGACATCCCCAATAGCATCCATGACTTCCAGACTGCCGAGCGCATTCGTGAGCAGTGGCCCGGGGAGGAGTTTGACTGGTTCCACCTGGTTGGCCTTTTGCATGATCTGGGCAAGGTCATGGCATTGCCAAAGATGGCCGGAAAAGACACTTTGCCACAGTGGGCAGTTGTTGGTGACACTTTCCCCGTTGGCTGCGCGCCCGCAGAGGATTCGATCGTTTTCCCGGAGTCCTTGCGTGAGAATCCGGACTACAACCATCCCGTCTTCGGCACGACCAACGGCATCTACCACTCTGGCTGCGGCATCACTAAGCTGTTGTTCTCCTGGGGCCATGACGAGTACATGTACCAGATGTTGAAGTTTAACGGCTGCAGCATCCCTGAGCATGGTCTGAACATGATCCGCCTTCACTCCTTCTACCCCTGGCATGACAAGGGGGCCTATAGCCACCTTGAGAGTCCGGAGGACGCAGAAACGAAGAAGTGGGTGAAGGAGTTCAACAAGTTCGATTTGTACTCCAAGGCCGATGCAGTGCCTGAGGTAGAGAAGCTGAAGCCCTACTATGCATCCCTTCTGAAGAAGTACAACCTGGATGGCAAGCTCCGGTGGTGAGTGGGGTATCCCGTGGATCGATTGCACGCTGTTGCCCTGAGATGAGACTGGGTGCAGCTAAGTGACTAATGGCTCTGAGGTTTTATTACGTTACGGTTCGTGAGCCAACAAGGTGTGCATAGAGTTCTTGAATACTGACTAGACTAGGTTTTAATTACTTTCCGGCCAGTCTGAATTTTGAGAGTTTCGGGTTTGGTGTGAGTGCCCTCGCGGCATCATTCACCTGCTCGGACTGTTGTGGGCTCCTCGTGTGGGCACCCGAACTCAATTGGTCTTTTGCAGAGGGAGCCCTGCGATCTCGAGCCTCCCAGTGTAGAAGAGCTGCATGATGGCAAGGCGGAGATTCGTTGCATGTTTTTACACAATTCAGAATTCATGCGGCACGAGATGGACCAGCTTGCCGCCCGCAAGTCTCTTTCACTTGCGGTCGCATGGCGGCCCGGTCTCTGCTCGAGCTGCTCCCGGTGGGGCGGATTGGCTTCACAGTAGTACATAAGTAGCATGCGGAACAGTCAGTAGCTCACGCCCCAGTCGGAATTCGAGATTCGAACAGCGCAGTGGCCAGCGCACAGCTTCAAGCAGGCGTGGCCGATGCCCAGTGGTTCTCTTCTCCAGGATTACGCACCGATGCAATCACTCCACTGTGTGATTTTAAGCATGGATGAGCTTCGGATGCCAATGATGTCTGTACGTCCGGCAGTTCCCCAAGCAGCAGGACCCTCGGACAAAAGCCGCTGCCGAAGCGAAGTTCGGAAGAATGGTCGCATGTGGTGCCAGTCAGTGAATTCTGGGCCCGGGAGTCCCCCGGATCCAAGAGCCCTCCAGCAATTTGAATGAAGGTGCACAATGACACTCCTACTCGGAGGCTATCGGTTGAGAGGCTCTTTGGTCGGACAGAAGCTTGCAGGCTGAGTTTGCCCCTCCCCTCTGGGCCGTGGCAGCTTTACCAGTCCTGCTTGGCGCTGTGGGAGCTGCCGGGCTCCCGGATTCCTGGGATGCTGGGGCGTCGGGTCGGCATGATGCTCATGCTAGTCGGCATGAATTCCTGCTTTGGCTTGTTAACATAACTTACTACGTAGGTGTATTTATATGTAATGATATGTTTATGCGTATGCTGTATGCATACGTAATTAGGTATGTATGTATATGTATGCATGTAGGCATGTATGTATGTATGCATGATGTGTGTCTATCTGTCTGTCTCCCTGTCTGTCTGTATGTATGTATGCATGAATGCATGTACGCTCGCATACTCTCATGTTTCGCATATCGTCGTTGTAACACCTTCCCCTTTGTGATGCTGTGTCAGTGGCGGATCAGAAAGATTGTTGATGCCGTTGACAGTGATAGTGAGTAGTCCGCTGGCATCATTACCGTCATGGCCCCGGTGCTGATGAGACTCATGGTGATACTGTAGCGATGGGAATGCCAATGAAGTTCATGATGATGATGGTGATGATGATGATGATGATGGCAATGCTGACGTTGTCGCTGAAGATGAGACTCGCGAAGCTCACGAAAGTCACGGCGGCTGTGGACAAAAAATGCGCAGACGGTGTTGAACATGATGGTCAACACGGCTCAGGAACAGTTCCTGATGATGAGGGCTGTTGATGTGGATGAATATGATGCTGATGATCCGCTGCACTGCTCCTGGCTCCAGGCTTTGGCCCTGACGTGTCTGAGATGGCCCTCGGCTGGGAGCAAGCACAGCCTCAACTAGGTTTCGTGAAGCTTCTGACACTCGATCGTTGGGTTTAGGGCTTAGGGTCTGGTGATCTTGGACACCGCAAAGGTTGGCAGGGTCCGGCTATACTTCATTGGGTACAGAACTTCAGGTGGAGACTTGCTCAAACTCTAGGGTTCGGGGTCTTCGCACAACAGCTTAGACTTCACTTTAATATAGAGAACCATTCAGACACAGATGGAACCCCAGTTGCGCATCGTGCAGTTTTTGATGCAAGCGCCACGCTTGGACTGGCCTGTACCATGAAGGTCGTCTGTGTCCTTGGCAGCGCACCCCCGGAAAGAAGGGGTTGGACACCTTGGACCCGGTCAGAGCGACAGGCACAAGAGCTTCATATGATATGAGCTTCGGTCTAGGGTTTAGGCAACCCTTGCATAGACCTCGAACCGAGTTGGCCTGGTTGCCTGATATGTAAGACAGTGCTAGAAGGAATGCGGGGAGGCACGAGCATCTGTCCGTTGCGAAGAATTCCGTCAGAGAATGTAGATTACGGTTAAGGCTGGGCCAATGTCACGGCCACCCCCCCACCGCTTTTCTGATGACTTTGCCCGTTTCCGAGATGTATTAAGTTCTGGAGAAGGACGACATAGGTTTACGGTGTGATGTAAGTCAGAAAGCAGCCAGTGACAGCATCTGACAGGTTTGCACACTGCTCCGGGCGACATGAAGGAGCGTCAACCACAAAACATCCCTTCCACCTGACCGACTCAGAAGATGGGTGTCGAGTCAACCTCAACCACACATCGAGTCGAGCAGGGAGCTTCTCTAAGCGTAGCTCGAGGCGTCACGCCTGCCGCCTGCGTGCGGTTTGGTTTCTGCGTCTTATAAGACACTTCGCAGAGGCTATTCCGAACCGCGGACATTTGCCTGGCCACTAGTCGTCCCCACTGTATAGTATATCCGAAATCTCCCATGAACCTGCACTGAGTTTCAGTTTATCTGAAGCTCCGAACACCGTGGGCCTGTGAGAGAATGCAGCTTGCATACGCCTTCCAGGTCTCACAGGCGAATGCGACGTGCAAGTGGGACCCCCCTTTCGCCAGGCATACAGTGGTATTCGGCAGACTTCGGGGATATGTATGCCCAACGGTATCATCTCAACACCTAAGGTGTGTAGACTTCAATATTCAAGAAGTGCCAGTTCTATTTGGTGTTGAAGAAAGGTCCGAAGACCTTGAGACTTAAGATGGTTCAAGATCTGTATGGCCATAAGGCTGAGAGTTGTTCTGGGCGGCGAATGCAACGACGCCCTCGCTCAGGATGTGCATACGTCACCCGCAAAGACCCGAGCAAGATCCCGCCAAAAAGAGATCGGGACGTGGCTCCTGGCTCCAGTGCTGTACCTGCCAGAGGGGAGGGTCGGATGTGGGTGGTTCGTTTTTTGGTCTTAGTAGCTTAGTAGTCGAGTTTAAGGGTCATGACATGACAGTTCCAGCCGCACTTCAGCGAAAATCAGGCCAGCTAGACAGCCCTCGGCGAATCGATCGTGACGAGGCTTCGGGAGGCTTTCTTGAAAGTGAGCCAGGCCTTCTTATCCTGCCCACTTTGAGCAGTGAGCTAATCGTAGACTGCCAAGGCTGACTTCGTTTCGAGGCCCCGGGCACACTCTGGTGAAGGCTCCGGTGAAGCATACGGCAGCTACCGTGGGGCCCTGGGCCTTGCATTATCTTGAAACGTATCGAGCTTTTCCGAGATGTTAGGATACCCCCGGCCCTTTGAGCCCTGCTGTGGACTAGGACACGGCGCAGTTTCCGGCATCTTGGCATAGGTACTGATGATCTGATGCTTCGGTGTTGCTAGGGCGCTCCGAGCTCCCACTTGACAGATTGATTTCTGTTTTCTTGTAGGTTCGAGTATTTTTCCTTTTCGTCCTGAAGCGGGCCTTGAGACTAGCCATGGCCGGCTGGGATAGGTATGGTGAGGACAAGAAATATCGGAAAGATGTCGACTTGAATGACAATCCAAAGCAGCTCTGCTTAGTTGGAAGCACGCTTCTTTTGTGCCCGATGTTGTTTTTGGCTGTTCTGCTAGCTTGTTGCTCGCCAGCCGAGGCACGTTGGTGAGCCTCTTAGAAAGCTGACGCTAGAGGACCGGTTGGAGCTGCGGAGGCAGACTCGTGAGCAGCAAAAGAAGCGGTCTGTGCTCGCGGAGATCGATGCCGGCGACGACAGCGATGGGCTCGATGACAGACCCGTGAAGAGAACGAAGTCTAGCGGGGAGGGCAGCGGCGCCAAAGCAGCATTTGAAGGATGCGCACCCCCAGCCCCCTTCCCACCGCCCACAGATAGAAACCTTGATTGATAGCCTGCGCCGGTCTGTGCCGAGGTGAGCAGTCGCCGGACCTGGACATCGTCAACGTGGCCACCAACGGTAAGACCAACGGTAAAGAAGTCGTGGACCTTGCCGAGGATGACATCGGCAAGCGAGCTGCTGCCATTCGCCGGGCTCGTCGGAGAGCCATGGCCCAGGCAGCCAAGGCGGCACCGGTGCCTCGGCCACCTGCGTCTGCTGTCCTGGACCCAGAGGTGGAGGTCCTGGAGTGAGGGACGTCGATATCTCCTGGGCGCCCCCTGAAGACTGGCGCCTTGCATCTTTTCGGGGGCCGGGGGATGTCCCTGCTTGGTCCTTCTTTTGGGAAGGAGTGGTTCGGGCCACTTTGTCACCAAATACTCTGGCTTCCTATGGCAGTCTAGGAAAACCAATGTGGAATGCAATTAATCAATGGAAAAGTCTACTCTCTGAGTCCGGATTGCCAATCTGGCAGGCTTGGATTACAGAGGAGCTCTGGGGTTTGGGATGCTTTGAGGCTCCGCTCTATCGCTGTGAGTTCGCAGTGGTTTTGTGGTGGGGGCCAACCCTTCGCACACTGCGACCGCGGCCCAGACCCAAACGGAGGAGTTCAGAAAGTTTCACATGCAAGCAGCAATGCAGCATAAATCTCCCTGACCTTCGCATCGTGCAGGTCTGCAAAAATCAGGGAATCCGGCGAAGCAGCAGGCGTACGGCCGCTTGAAGCTTCAAAGTGCCTCTTCTTTTGGGAACCTCTTAGGTGTGCCTTTTTCCTAAAGGAGGCCCAAGCAAGCCCCTGTACAACATCTACACGACCGGATGTGTGGGGCCATGATTTACGCGGTAGCCGTTTGCCCCCATAGCATGGCAGAGCAGAGCCCATCTGCTGCCATCCAGGAAGCGCTGGGCTGTTGAAGGCGTCGAAGGCAACGGGAGGTACAGGATCATGTCCCTCCTGGGCCTGGGACCTCTAGAATCCTCATGTCTAACTCACATGCATGCCGTTTGCAGCATTACAGCGCTTAGCATTGGAGCACCTTTCATCCTCCATAGGATACCAAAGTCTTTTGCACTGGCTGAGAACGTGTCCTTGCCTCAGCAGCGATGGCCCTGGGTGAGTTCGTGGCTGTTACGTAGCATTTGAGCAGTTCTGTGCCAGCTCTGACAGTTTCGGAAACTAGGAGGGAAGGCGGCGTTTCGGGGTCGGAAGTATCTTGTCTGGATTTCTACTGCCAGATGCAGAGCTTACACCAAGTCGTGTCTTCAGGCACAAAGTCAGGCACTACGGCAACACGATCACATCCTTCGATGTTTGTCTCTCGTTGCAGCTTCGGGCCGCTAAAGTTTGTGTATCCATGAACCAGTCCACCGACAATCGACGCCGCAAGCCCTGAAGCCTGAACCCTACGCACACCCTTGCGAGCCCTGAAGCCTCTGCATCTTTGGCCTACAGTGCATTTGGTATCCGGGCCGGCGCGCTCCACTCATCGAACGGTTGACAGCTCAAGAGGCTCCCCCGCGGGGAACGGGCGATGCTGGGGGAGGGGGTTCTCGTCTCACAGTCGTCAGTAGGACGACCACCTTCTTGCTTGAGAGAGTAATCATACCAAGCTTACAGGAATCGCCCGGTCTTAATTTCAGATTCATCCGACAACAGCCACAACAGCACCAACAACAACAGCAATAACGACAACAACAACCACCACCAACAACAACATCAACGTAATCGTCATCATCACCGTCAGAATCCTTGTCCATCCTTCAGAAATACGCATCTTTGGGACCAGCAGCAGCAGCAGCCGCAGCAGCAGCAGCAGCAGCCGCAGCAGCAGCAGCAGCGAGCTTTGGGGGCGGAGCATAACATGGTGTGGTGGTTTTGATGTACATTGTCATTGTCTTGCAAAGACCCGGCCGGCGCAAGCTAACAAGGCCGCGGGCTGGAGATTGCCGGTTCTCGCCGGCTTCTCTTTCAGAGCAGAGTGCACACTAGTTTCGCCTCAACAGTTTTGCCTCAACGTTGCCCCCTCCCGGTTTTAGATGCATCTTGAAAAATTGTCATGTCTGCGCCGCACTGCCGTCTTCAAAAAAAAACGTAAAACGTCAGGATCCAGAACGATGATCTACGACGTGAACAGTCCGCTCTTCAAGCAGTTCCTCTCAGAGAAGGTGCGCTCGAATGCTTTATATTTATAAATCAAATCTACGATATATAAGCATATCATAGTACACTATATTACCTTAAATCTTGAACCGTTACACCGGAAAGTTAGACTTAGCAGTGCTTCAGCTCTCAGAACCTTCCAAAGTTGGCTCGGGCTTGCGATGGCTGCGCAGGCAGATCTCACTATGACTGTGATTCGATCCTGACCCTGTGTTTTAGAGTTACCGCTAAACTCACAGGACATACACATGCACATGAACGAGTGCATACATCCGTTTCTTGACATTGAAGCCATACTAGTAGTGGCGATTGCAGGTTTTGGGATGGGGTGGTGGTGGTGGTTGCAATTGTCCTGGTCGGCCAGGGTATTTGCAACGTCAGACTGTTATCGCTTCGGCTATTTATTTTTTGTGAAGCCGCTTTCTTGCTGATGGTAGTGTATGTGGTAATGCGGCGGTGTATGTCGTCGTGGACACGGTGGTCCAGTGGTGTTGGTGGCGATGGTTTCGGCGTGTGGGGGGGTGGGGTGAAAGTGCTGGTGTTGGTCTTGGTCGGTGTAGCAGCAGCAACAAAGACGGAAGTAGACGTCATATAGGAATATAGTGATATGATATAGTGAAAATGACGCTGCATAAGCAGAGAGGAAGGCACGTTTAAAGCTAGCTTGAGGCTGAAAGCCAAGCATCCTGTGCAGCTTCCATCGGTGAGTGGCCTGGACAAACCCACACGTAACGTGCAAGTAGGTTGGCAAGCTCTAGCCTGAGTTGCGATGTTGGTTCAGGTGATGCGCAAGGCTGCAGCCAAGGACTGATTCGCAGAGCTGAGTAAACTTGCAAGGCTGCAGACTGCCATGTTTATTTGCTCAAAGAGCCTGCAAGATGCGTTGTGCGGTGAACGCAGCTCTAATTGTTCTAATTAAACAAACATCCTGACTCGGTCCAAGGCCCGCATCTCGAAATATGTAGTAGCAATGGCATCTGGCGGACATATATTAGAATAGCAGCAGCATCAGAAACAGCTTGCAACACGCTGCAAATCATAAAGTATACAGCGGACAGCAAGGCGACCATACAGTTCCGATTCCGCCGCTGCCATATTTTTTGTGTTTGCAGACATCGTTCTGTGTGTGTGTGTGTGTGTGTGTGCATGTGTGTGTGCGCATCTGCCTAATATTTGTGAACATAAGGATATATGTATATATATATATATATATATAATTTGTATGTGTGTGTATGTGTATATATATATATACATATATGTATAGATACTTTTGCATACATAGATATATACACACTCATGTAGCGCCATGGTTAAGGAGTTTTCCAGCAGCAATGGTGAGACTCGTAAGAACTTTAGCTAGAAGTGGTAGAACCAACCTTCACAGGCGGTCAACACCTGAACGCCGCATTCGGCTACCTTTTGGTAGAAACCGGACAGCTCCAAAACCCTACACCCTAAACCCTTTTCCTCCTGCGACAAAGAACTCTAAACTTTTAAACCGTAAACCCTAACCCAAAGTCCCTCAGTCACCCTAACCCAAATTCCCTAAGTCACCAGGACAAAGACAAGGGTTCCGGCGCTTCTAAGGGAGCATCGGCCGGCAAGGACTGAGATGGAAAAGAAGCTCCTGACGAGTGCATGGTACACTGTCATTGTGAGCTGGGTGCTTAGCCTTCTAATTTCTGAATACTATCTGCTTATTACTTGCTACTTACTACTTCTTGCAGGTTAAATGCTACTTCCTGCTTGCTACTTGCTACTCACTACTTACTGCTTTCTACTTACTGGTTGCTACGTACTACTTTCTTCTTCTGCTGCTACTGCTACTACTGCTACCCCTGCTGCTGCTACTGATGCTACTGCTACTACTACTACTACTACTACTACTACTACTACTACTACTACTACTACTACTACTACTACTACTACTACTACTACTACTACTACTACTACTACTACTACTATACTACTACTACTACTACTACTACTACTACTACTACTACTACTACTACTACTACTACTACTACTACTACTACTACTACTACTACTACTACTACTACTACTACTACTACTACTGCTACTGCTACTGCTACTGCTACTGCTACTGCTACTACTACTACTACTACCACCACCACTTCTACCACGACTTCTACTACTACTTAGCGTCGCGTTGGCAATTTTTTGTTTGCGTGCATGGGTTTGCACGAAGTAAGTTTAGCACAGTTTGTTACAGCACTTCGTGGTTGTTTACTCTTTGTTCAAGGGGTGCAAATCTCGAGAAACTACTTGTTGGATGATTGAACAGAATCTTAATTGATGCTGCTTTGCTCGTTGCGTAATTTGCAAAGGCACGTGTTCAGAAGACTCGAGAAGTTGCAAAATGCAGGACTTTACGAGTCTACATGTTGTTTGACTTGTTCGTGTACAGTGGTAAGGCGGTCATACAATGTCATAAAAACTAGAAATGGTGTTTGCGAGCCTTTCAGGACAATATATATTATATATTATATATTATATATTATATACTATGTATATTATATATTATATATTATATATTATATATTATATATTATATATTATATACTATATATTATATATTATATATTATATATATGTATATACAACTATACATATACATGTGTATATATATATATATATGAATGGACAGGCACTGCTTCGTATAGTCTAGTATAGATTGTATGATCCCACCGTATGCTCTGTACTATACAGTCCAGCATGGTGTACTGGATAGGATACTGGAAAGTCGAGTACGTACTATATATAGCACAGAATACAATATCGTGTACAACCAGGCCAGCATATCAAGCCTACGCTCCATTTTATGGGGCACTTACGGACGCCTGAAGCCACATGAAGCCGCTACCACTGCTGCTACTGTTGCCGGTACCTCACTTGTGCGCATGCTGCTACTGTTGTTGCAACGGCTACTGCTGCAAATGCTACTAGTAATGACTGTACTACCATGTACTACGACTAGCATTACTATGCTACTGCTACTGACACCACTTCCACGACTACTACTCCTGCTGCTCCTACTGCTGCTGCTCCTACTCCTCCTAGTCCTACTCCTGCTCCTGCTCCTACTCCTACTGCTGCCACTGCTACTGCTACTGCTACTGCTTCTGCTACTGCTGCTGAATTTCTACTGCTGCAACAGCAACTACTACTACCGCCATTAGTTTGTTCGAGTTGAATATTAGTACTCATACTACCACCGCTACCACAGCCACCAGTTTGAAGCGAGCAACTGGGTCCAGGATCGGGCAATGGCGCATCCCGCCTCGGTAGGCTGCTAGTGATCGCTGGCGCGGGCTGAACAGTTGGAGCCGCTGCTGCCCACCTGCGCTCTTCTTATAATAACATATTATGATAAGAATATAAATAGAATACTAATTACGGTTTTTTGACAACTCTCCACTCATGGAAGACAGCAGATGATCCAGCGGCAGCCTGCATCGTAGAGCGTGGTTTTGCTGCAGGTTTTCGGTCTTTGGCGTGTCGGGGCAGAGAAGTTGATGAGCTACGGACTGGGCACTTGCTACCGGGCAACGACGACCTTTGGACTCTATCTGGGTGGTTGTCAAAATTAGGGTCCCTTTTGCGGGTCCTTATAATATTACGGCACCAAATATTTAGGGTACCCAAAAAGGGGCCCTAATTTTGACAACCACCCATCTAGCAAAATGTGAGAGCAATCGCGGCCAAGCAGCTGGGATTCGCACTTCCACGTTCGATGGGTTGGTTCTGCATGCTTTAATGTTTGGGTTTGTGCACCTAGCCCCTTGTCAAGGAAACCTAGCGAATCGTGACGTGATGCAGTCGCTCAGCAAAAGGCCTTTTTTTTCTATGAGGCTCAACATACCAACAGGAAAACCTGGATGTACTTGCCTCTGGCTGCATCGAAAAACGGATGGAGTTCTTCCAAGCGTTGGAATCACTTCACAGAGTCCTAAATGCAGAAGAGATGAACAGGGTCACCAGCTTAACTTGCTAAGGCCATATATCCAATGTCCTTCGCGTGTAGTAAAAGATGGTTGTCAGGGTTCTGGCGTAGTGATGTCTAGTCGAAGACGGGCCTGTTCAAGCAATAGTCTTGACGAGCAGAGCCCACAGCTTGGGCAGAAGACTGTTGTGCCAACCCCTTGCGCAATCGGACCACCCCATTTGCTGCTTCGTCATACACAGCATTGAAACAGATGTGGGTAGTTGTCAACATTCAGGTCCCTTTTTGGGTACCCTAGATAATCGGTGCCGTATTATAATAGGGGACCAAAAAGGGACCTTGACAACCACACATGTGCGTGGGGTACATGATTACTTCATTCGGAGGGTTGCCTTTTGCGGAGCCAGCTTGATCTGGGATGTCGGACTCAAAGCACACGATGCCTGTTCAGTGGAGCCACATCCCCAAGCCCCGCATATCATCCATGAAGGATATCTCAACGAGATTTACGGTTGCATAATCGTACCATTGTGTCATAGAGTGTCTTCTGATTCTAACTCCTTTCGAGCGCCGCAAGCTATCACAAGACAAAGAGTGTTTGTGCGGGGATGGTGCAGCAGCCCAGTGGCGAGAGACTGGCGGACAGACCTTGGACCTCTCGCCCCTGCCTTGTTCTCTTTGCCTACTAGTGATCAGGGCGGATGGTATGCCTTTGTATTCGTATTAGTTCCTTTCAGTGGGACCAGATGGTAGGTTCTCCGATTGCTCGTGCCGGTGTCAGATTCGCGCAATCTGTAGTTTTTGGACGGTAGGACCTTTAGCTCAGAGTTGCTTCGATTTCTGCTAGGTGTTTCCAAGTGAGTCTATGTGTTCCCATGTCGTGATGCCGAGGCTGTGAAGTAGTTCGGGTGGCAAGAGGGCCCTGGTCAAGCTTTCAGCCACGGAAGAGAGCTATGGCCAAGTTGACCGCGGAGAAAGATGGCGCGCAGCTGGACCCTACAAGGTACAAGACTGCCTCAGTCGATGAGAACAGGGCAGGGTGAGAGAGAGAGAGAGCGTGCATGCATGCGACACAGGCAGGCAGTTCCCGGAAAAGCAACACAGACTGCTGTGCACTATTCTGTGCATCGGCCCTGCTTGGCTTTGGAGGGACCTAGCGCCGATCATGCAGGTCAGGGTCCATGGAGATGGGCTTCTCATGGTCTGCCCGACGTAGTCAACCCCACCACGTCCAAGCCAAGCCTTTACTCTCACAGAATGAGCTGAACCCCAAGAAGCGTGGCTGGAAAGCTTCGCTGCAGCTCAGCCCTTTCTACCCTTCATTACCCTAGCCCGCAAGCCATTCCGGACCTTGAATTCCTAACTATACCACCACCACTGCCCTCACCCATCCCACACCACCACCCAGCCTTAGCCCAAGCCCTTAAGGAACTTCTTCCGCTAATGACCCGATTGCCTAGCCGGGCAACTAGCCTGCTGGCGTTGATGCGGGGAGCTTGGCTTGATGATCACTGAGACCCCTGCTTTGTCAGCGCTCGCTGACTCTTTGCTTTCAGCTTTGCGGATTTATGTCTCCGAGGCTTCAGGTCTTGCTTTCGAGATGTTTGGGTGCTGTGACGGTGTACCTGGATCGCCAAAGGTCGTGTCGCACTCCTATGCAGTAGCTTCTGCAAGCCCGAATCTGCAGAGTCAGCCTTGCTTGTGACGATTTTTCGGTGTCAACGGCCCGATTGTTGTCCTGTGTAAGCCATATGTCTAGCACCATGAATCTGCGTGGTTGCCGTTGTGGTGATGCAGTCGCACCTTAATTTACTGTTGTGTGTGTGTGTGTGTGCGGAAGCATCTGGCATGTTGTCGTGATTGAAGCGGTTACGGGGATGGTGATTACGGGTGTGGTCGTGGTGGCGAAGAAAGACGACTTCGTCTTCCTCGCCATGGTTGAGATCATTCTAGCACTGCTATTCCTATGCAGCTCTTGTCATAAAGAACAGAGACAGAGACCCACATTCCCCGTCGCCCAGGCAATTGCACCGCTGGCAGCCATGGTGGGCGAGACGGAAGGCTGCTGCACAGGGCTTCGTCAATTCAGCAGTCGTTCTACTAGTTCGGCGATCTCCCTGTGTAATCATGCAGCACCTACACCGTTCCGAAGCACCTGACTGAACATGGTATGCATATTAGGGCTTCTCTGTATACGTGCATATAGATGTGTGGGTGCTTCCATATGTTTCTGTGTGTGTCTGTGCAGGAAATGCAGCTAAGCCTACATTGATGAACGGGCTTCTCAAGAGCGACTGAAGTCGAGAAGCTCCGATTGGCTTGTCGGAAGCACATTCACGAACCCTAGCTATGAAGCTCACAGGGTTCAGCAAGACCTAGGATATCTTGGGATGCGACATGTCAAGTTGCGGAGCCCCACCGAACAGCACATCTCCCCCGAGTCTGGTAAAGCAAAAACTCCGATATCTTTTCGGTGCATGCAGGCGCTTCCATGTCATGAGGTATGTAGTGCCCCACCTGCAGTCGAGCCATTCTTTCTCCGGCTTGAAAAAAATTGGCATGACCGGCCTCCAAGCTTGGGGTCGGGCGATGCAAGCTATCCGAAGCCTTCTCTGCCCATGATGACCTGCAAGAAACCCCTCATGGACGTTGTTGGAACGGTTGTGTGCTACATTAGTTGGGGACCCTGGTTGGGATGAAGAAGCCAACTTGGAGGAATGCCGAGACGGGTGGCCAAGGATCGTCAGCAACCTTAGTAGCCTCGGTACGAAACCACACAATGCCTCAGAACCTGTTTGACGCCCGCACAAGGCAATTGTCACACCAGCTGCAAAGCAGCCGCAACCGGGGGATTGTACACACACTTTACATACGTATGCATACACACACACATATACATAGATATAGACATATCAAGAAATATATATACATATATATATATATATATGGATGTATACATAGATTTCTATACATATGTATACATGCATATACCAGCGACGGACTTTGGCTGCTGATCGTTGACATGAACCTCGGCCAGGGTTGACAGACCCAAGGCGTCTGGCTCGAGCTCGGGGCCCTCGAGACTTGATAATTAGAGTCGGATTTAGCTGAATAGCATATGCATACATTTAATGAAGTAATATCACAAGGGCTAGTACCATGAGGGTCTACAGATTTCCATCTTCAGCCCTTGGTTCAGTATTTGCGGTTTGTGTTTCGGTTCATCGGAGAACGGTCTTCGGATCCACCAGCATTCAGATTCGCACGACGATGGAGCGATTGTCGTCCTGACCAGAAGCCATTATGTTCAACCAGCATCGCCGCCGCTGAGCTATAGCTACCGCCATCACACGCATCATCGCGCCGTATGGCCGACACATTGTTTTGGATCATGACGATATTGTTGAGGGTGATGGTGGCACGGGTGAGAATGAGGATATGGTTGATGATGCGAACGATGACCGATGATGGTGACGATATGTGACGATGATGATGGTAATGATGACGGTGATGCTGATGACAATGACGATGGCCATCGCGCATGGATGACAATGACGATGATGACGACGACGACGAAGCAGAGCATGACGACGATGATGGCGGTGGTCATGATGATGGTGATGATGATGATGACCGCCATTATCATCCTCATCAGCAACAGCATCATCAGCATCTTTAGCGAACCGGTTCATCATCTTTTTATTGACGAACATCAGCATGCTCATCACCACCATACAATAGTGGCATTATCAGTTGCTAGTTAGTTTCTGCTTCTAGATGATACTATTATCAACGTCTCTGTGGTTTTGCTCGGTTGACTTCTGCAAGTCTTCATGGTATTTGTCTCCCAATTCGGGTTGCCAAGGCCAAGGAACTCTTCCAAACAAACCAACAGCGGCGCCATGGCCGGCATCTCAGAGCCGGCAGGGTACTGGTCAGCACTTGCTTGACAAGTATCATCACAGACTCGAAGCTGTGTTGGGGATCAGCTGCGTCTCAAAGCTACTTTGTAACATGTTGGAACCTAAGATCGCTCCTCATACTACCAAGTGAGCCACTGTAGGAGCAACTGCTCTCCATCGTAATCCAATGACCGGAACGCTGCAACACTTCCCTGAACCGATCCAGGAGGCGCCACGAGGGCCAAGAGCTAACCGCTCCAAGTGATGCCGGCAGCCTTACATGTGCGAAATGGCTTCATGCAAAGATGGCAGTCATGGTGCGATCACATCAAACGAAATGCCTGCAAGGTTTAGAACGTTTAGAACTTCGATGTTGTTCATAGTGTCAGTGATGGCCACCGAAGCCACTAGTGACAACAACGACAGAGCACCTCTAGCAGCAGAAGGAAGAATGACAGGATTAAGAAGATAAGTGACAATAATAATGTAAACAGCCACGCCGGCAGCAAAAGTGAGGACAAGACAGAAAGTAGTTTCAATGATGTAAAGGGCAGAAGCCTTAAGACCACCAGTAGCAACAATAACGCGGGCTGGTCACCTTAAGCATTGACGGAGCAGCCGTCTTTGCACATGATACGAAGATGATGGTCATCATCACGATGATGCCAATAGTCGTACTGGTATTCGTGGTAGTGGTCGTCGTCGTAGTCCCAGTTGTGGTCAAAGTGTAGTCAGTTGTAGTAGTAGTGGTAGTAGTAGTCGCAGTCGCAGTAACAGTAATAGTATTAGTTTGAACAGTAATAGCAATCGTAATAGTAATAGTAACGGTAATAATAATAATAGTGGTAGTAGTAGTAGTAGTAGTAGTAGTAGTAGTAGTAGTAGTAGTAGTAGTAGTAGTGGTAGAAGTCGGAGTCGGAGTAGGAGTAGCAGCAGTAGCAGCAGTAGCAGTAGGAGTGAGTATGAGCACGAGCATGACCACCTCCACTTTGCTTCGCGATGATGAAGAATACGAAATCCATACCAGCCGTGCCAGTACTAAATGATTTTGCTTGTTCGTCGCTTGAAGCCAGGAAGACTCTCCCGGCGGCTTTCTTCCCGTCCAAGGGCCGCCATGTGTCGCCTCACACCGGCTCAGGTGGGAGTGCTCCGGTTGCTTAGCCAGCTGCTTCTTGAGGAAGTTAGCGAAAGTGCTGCCTGTCCGTGTTATCCTCGTCGGGGCCCTGACGTGCTGCTTGCGGATAAAAGTCACATGAAAGAGGGCTGGGGCCCGGTGTTCCCTCGGGTTTTCGGGCGCCGCATCGGCGAAGAAGAAGATGGAACAGGGCAGCATTCCGAGTAGGTTGAACACCGCTGTCGCCAACGCTACAACAGAATGATGCTCATCAGCATGCCTGTCGTCATAGGAGAGCTTGTGTACGAACACCGACATCGCCATCTGAACCGCCGCCATCCGCACCATGATGACTAGCATCGCAATCTGTCATGGTCGTCAACACCATCTTTGTCATCCTGATCGTCGTTTTCTTCCTCGACAGCAGCGTCGGCTTGATTGTCATCATCTTGATGATCGCCAGCAGACACCACCACCATGCTTCCTTCTCTGCTCTCTCACCCTCGTGTTGCTCTTGGCCGTCCGCATCCACCATTGTCATGCTCGTGGTCATCATCATCATCATCAATCATCCGCGCCATTGCTGCTAACCTCTTGATTGTCTTCGTCGTTTCTGTGCGGCTTCTGCATAAGATGTGTGCGAAGTCAACAGTATCATAGTCGTTAGAGCTGTCACTGAGGAGAAAGAGCACGAACATCATATCAGTGTGCAAGTCCATAACCATGATCTGGGTCAGATCCCTCAGCACCAGAATCAACACACCGTCAATCTACTTGTGCGAGAAGATCAGCGACTACAGATTCCAGTGGAAGACTTCTATGTCTCCTCCAGGGCAGACAGGTGCTGGTATCGGACTTGCCCCGAAGCTCCCTTGCTTATTTCCCTTGGGCCAGGTCGTGGTCTGGGAGAGAAGCCTCGGCGCTCAGCTGTTCGGATTAGCGGGCTTTGGGCTTTCGAAGTGGGCTCTTTTCGGTTTTTGGGTTTGTGTAGGCCCGCAGGCTCTGGGTTTGAGGCTGCAGGGTCAAAGGCGAACTGCTGTGAGTGCTAGGCCCTAAACCCAAGACTTGCTGCGCGCAGGGGAGTGGGGCTCAGGCTCCCCTGCCACTAAGCTTGCAAAGCTTTCCCATTTTGCAGGCTTAGGGCTTGATTTTGCAGGGCTTAGGGTTGGGGGTTCGAGTTTGAGGCTTTTGGGGTTTAGGGTATCTATAGGGCGTAGCGGTTAGTGGTTTAGATAGGTGCTAATGGACTCGGTACCAACCTGCAGCCACTGAGGTTGCATTTTACGAAGATCATCGATTGAAAGGTTGGAAGTCAGGGTACCGGACTTCTACACTTGGGCTATGAATGTACCAGCATAAGTATTCAAGCGCAGACGACTTTGGTGAGACAGCTGCACAACAAGATACTCCCGTAGAAGCAAAGCTGCACGATTCCGTGGTCAGGACAAAAAGCTTCCAGCACGAGAGCATTGTCCTTGCCGATCCTTCCTGTCACAGCAGCACACCTTGATGCTAAGAACAAGATGGGTGGTTGTCAAAATCTATGGTCCCTTGTTGGGTCCCTATTATTACACGGCACCTATTATATAAGGTACCCAAAAAGAGACTATAATTTTGACAACCACCCAGACGTATCACACTACTAACACGACGGGACGCTGGCCCTCCGCAAGAACTTCCCTGTCTCCCAGGGCTGCGGGATGGTCTCCAAGAACTCATGGGGACACCGGGAGGCCCCGAGCTGTCCTACCGGTAGTTGGGAACCTCTGAGACTTTGAGACAACCGGCAGTTCTGGAAGACTCTTCTGGTGATGTCAGTATTCCTGTCCGCTGTAAGAAGTATCATACGCAGCATCCTCGGCTCCGGTGGAGAGCGCGACAGAGAGAGAGAGAGAGAGAGAGAGAGAGTCATGTCGTCAACTTGGTTCTGTTTGCTGCAGCATTCGCTTGCAGCCGCTTGTACTACTCGGAGCCGAGGAGACGCTATGCTTCTGTGTGTTGCTTAGGTTCGTGTTCAGCACGTTGGTATCATGTCGGTTCGGTTTGTCGTTTTGGTCGCTGTGCCTGTTGCTGCTGCTGCTGCTGTTGTGGTTATCGCTGTCGTTGTTGTGGTGTACTTCGGTCATCAGAACCTGTGCCCAAAGTCAGCAAGTTCATCTCGCAGGCAACCACCGGGAGGTGACTCTCCGCCCGCACAAGGCACTTTGGGGCTCAGGATTTAGGATAAAGGGTTTAGGATGTACTGGCATGTTTATTGGACTTGCGGTTGCTTCTGTGCTGCTTCTCTGTACATGAGCGTGCACTCCATTTTGTCCGCTGGTTCCTGGGATCATCTGATTCTGTTGACGTGAGAAGTTGTCACTGTAAAAATGTTTGACGACCCACTGTCTTGTTTGGCAACAAACCGTCTTCGTCCGAAGCTTTCGTTGAGACGTCAGAAAGTCCATGCTGCATGGCTTGCAAGGCCAGGGAGAGAACACAGGTTTTTGGTTGCTGGCGCGGTCCGCTTAATCTGCAGGTAAGTTCCACAACGAAAAGCAATTCGGGATCGATTCCTCCCACGTCTCCTGCATTTGAATCTTGGCCCGCCCGTCTGAACAGCGAGGTCGCGACCTGAGCTGTGAGGACCTGACGCAGGTGCCTGACTACCACGAACAGCCCAGGTTCTGTGTTCTCAGCAATAACATAATCCTATAATATACTATGATAGACTCTAGTGTACAATAAAGTGTCTTCATTGCAGGCATGTCGGCCGGTGTGCCTCATGGGATCTTGCGATCGTGCTGTACTTGCTGGGACACTCCGGAACCCCAGATCCCTTCGGGTTTTCTTGGACGTTCGAGCCCTGAACCCTTGAGCTCGAACTCACGGCTGAGCCTTGACACTCAAATTGTCACACTGTTCCTTTGAATCCCCGTCAGACAGTAAGATATAATATATTGCGAATACAGTCATTCGATCCGATGCGAGGCTCGGGCACTAGCGAACAACATGACAACAGCAGCCTGCGACGGCCTTTTGGAGATAGCAGCTACAGTGCCCACCGTGAGAAGTCTTGTGTAGTATCTCTCCAATTCTACGTAACGTCAGTGAGTGTCTGTTTTTTTCTTTGTTGCGAGGGTTGTTGCAATCTTCCGGGATTCAGGCTTTACCACATCTAGATATGGCGATCCCAGGATTTCCAGAAAACCGCCTAAACAAGAAGTAGCAGGGCCGTTCAGATAAAGTTTGTGACTTGTGATCCTAAGCCCTGGACCCTTTAGACCCTGTCATAAACCCCAGACTCTAAACCGGGATCCCCTAGACCCTGTCATGAAGCTCAGTTTAGGGTTTCATCTCCCTTGCAAGGCCGGCGAGGTCTCACAGGCTCCAGCCAGGGCCTTGTCCTTTAAAATTTGAACAGTGGAAGCATTAATATAGGGGCCTGAATAATTACCAGTACTATTTTGGGGATTCCTCATTACAGTTATAATATAGTGGGACCCGAAACCCTATTCTAACTGTTGGAGTGATTTCAGCATGAGCCCCTGCGCAGAATGACACACATGCAGGCCTTTTTGCTCAGCGTATATAAAGTTGTTGCGTGCTTTCGGGGTGTAAGTTCAGGGTTGAGCCTAGAGTCCAAAGCTTAGGTAGCCAGGTTCTTCTAAAGGCCCTTCCCCGGTAGCTCCTCGAAAAGAGGTTAGGAGCCCAAGCTCCCTTAGGGTTCCTTTAGCTCTACTTTGTAGGCTTAGGCCCCTAAGTATCGCCCTCCGCTCCCCGACTTTATAAGTCTAGGCTCTAGGTCCTAGCTTAGTCGGGTGATAGGTTCGCTGAGATAACTTTCTAGATCTAGTCCCTCGAAACAATGGACCCCTCCATGCGCCGCCGACGGCAAGATCCTGATGCCAGGGATCAGGAACAGGAGACAGCCTTGGCTACGGAGGAGACCTCGCCGACAGCGCACCCCTTCTGGTCGGACAAGGCCAAGGCAGAGGTTGAGCTTCAGAAGGCGAGACCTCAAGGGCTTGATGGGGCCAAGAAGCTTCCCGAGGTTCGAGTAGACGATGATGTTCTGGAGCCTGACTATGAGTTGGGGTCTGGAGGGAAGGGGAAGGGACTTCCTACAGAAGGCTCGGGAAATGGTGAGACAGGGAGAACTTCAGATGTGGTTCAGGCTGCCAGTGGACAGGCGACCAACCCTGGTCTAAAGATGCGTTCTGGGAAACCTGGGCCTATCAGAGAGGGTGAACCTATGGACTGGATGTCTATGTCTCCCATGAAGTTTGAGCCAACTCCAAGCCTCTTGAATGATGCTACGAAAGTAACGATTTGGAGTGATGAAGACCCAGTGGAACTGCGGGAAACGTCTGATCGAGAGCTGGGAAGACAAGCAGCGCCCAAGCTGGCGAATGAGGATCCTGCTGGCTTGAATCAAGTTCGGGACTCTTTGAATTCTGGAGTGCTGGGACCGAGAGTTGTGGGAGCTTCAGGATCGCCTGGGCAGCTTCCAGGAACTTCAGCAGCTAGCCTTGGGATTCCGAGAGTTTCCACAACTGTCGGGGAAGGCGTTTCAGAAGAAAGGGTTCCGAACAGGTCTCACTTCGAACTAGAAACCGGTAGCGCGAGATTAGGGAACGAAAGGGCTGAGAGCGTCAGTGAAGACGCAGCAAGGAGGTCTATCCCTCTGTCTCCGGAAGCCCAGAGGTCCCAGAAGAGTTCGGCCTACGAGATCCCGGATCCCTCAGAGCAACATTTCGAAATCGTTAGACTACGGTCTTTGGTTGAGCATCTTCATGATAGGCTAGAGAAAGCTGAGGCTGAACGTAGTACGAGAGGATCCAGATCTTTTGGGTCGGCCTCTTCTGGGCGTAGAGTAGAGGAACTAGAGCTCAAGGGCCAAAGGGTAAACTTTCAGTCTGAGGAGGGTTATCCTTTGCCCCCGGTGCCACCTCTGCCTCCTTTCGCTTCTGAGGGGTGGTCTTCCTGGAATGCTTCGGACCCCCTTCATTCCACTCACGACCTGGTTTTGGGTCAAGAGCCTCCACGTCAGTCCTCCCTCGATATGGATTTTGGCCCATCTGTTCACTCCCCGATGGCTTTTCCCGGGGACATGGTGCCTTTGACTTCAACTACGAGTGCTCCTGGGGCCACCCTTTCGCCTTCTGAGGTTCCGTCTATGGACTTTGGACTTCACTCTTTTACAGGGCCCCCAGGAGTCCAATCCTCTTCAGGGATTCCCAATCCCGTTACACCTTCCGAGGTTCCTTCGATGGACTTTGGACTTCATTCTGCCGCGGGTGCTGGACCTCAGTACTTCGCTCTGTCTCCCCGTGCCCAGTTGCCGACTTCGTCTGGGGTGATAAGGGTTATGGGAGTTAATCATAGCTGGAAGGTGGTTAATGGTTCGTTGGTTTTAGAGCCTGTGGACTTCTCCTCCGCAGTGGACTTCGCCCTTGGTCGCAGCTCCGCCCACTTCTGGGGCGTGGAGCAACAGTCCATCTCCTCCGAAGCATCCTGCGTTTGGAGCACAACTTCCAGTGCCATCCTGCCATGCTGTCTCCTCCTGCGCTGGAGCGGCAATGCCTCGATACCAATCGCCTCCTCCGAGGCCTCCGTCGTCCACTCCGCCTCCGAGCCCACCGGCCCCGTCGGGTTTAAGTCTTCCCATAGCTGCCCCGCCGGTTGGAAATAGTGGTCGGGTTGATGTTAAGGACCTTAGGCCTGAAGCTGTGGGTAAACATGTAAGTTCCCTACCGTCCCTAGAGGCCTACAACCCTAACAACCCCACCGCGCTTGGAGATTGGATCGCAGTGGTCCAGCCGATGATTTCTTCACTGTCAGACACCGGAAGTGTCTGGTGGGGTTATACATACCAGGCGGCCAACCAGGCCTACGTGCGGTGGCTCTCCACTTCCCCGCTTGAAAGGCTGTCGATCCAGAAGGAGTTTGATCAGGTAAATTTGGTGCAGCCCCAGCATGCCTTGCTGGAACAGCGATGCGTGACCTTGATTCTTCAGGCAATCCCGGATGCTGTGAGGGTTGACATTGTCGCCTCACGCCACCTGAGTGTGGCAGGAATGATCTTTCGTCTGATGACGGTGTTTCAGCCCGGGGGAGCGTCAGAACGATCAACAATGTTGCGTTTTTTGGTGACGCCGAAGGCTGCTTCCACTTTGTCGGAGGCTGCAAAGCTGCTGAGGCAGTGGACCCAATGGCGTATGCGCCTGAAGCAACTGCACGCAGCAGAGCCTGACACCACGCTTCTGGTTAAGGGTTTAGATGTCCTGACAGGAAAGGTGTTGCAGAAGCACTCCGCGAGCCTTTTCCGACTTGCCACTTTCCGTGAGCGGCTTGGGGTTGACTACCAGCCGACCTCCGACGCTGTGTCGGAGTTGTGTCGAATGATGCAGGCGGAGGTGGAGCACCTGATGCACTCCACAGATGACAATCCTGTGAAGGATGAGGTTCCGGGCCGAGGGGATGATGCTAAGAAGCAGCGCTTGCAGCGCTTGCAGACGTCTCCAAGTACCCCGAAGGCCAAGACTTCTCCAGCGGGACCCAAGTCGCCGGGTGCAGGCATGAAACCTTGCAGAAGCTGGCTAACGGCTGGCGGTTGCATGTACGGGTCGTCCTGTCAGTTCTACCACGACCAGGATGAAGAAAAGATGCGGGGCCGATGCTTCTGTTGCAGTGCCGAAGATCACTGGGCGGACTCATGCCCGGTGAAAGCCAGGTTAAAGGCGGAGGCTAAGGCTGCCAATGAGGAGTCCCCTTCCACTAGCCCTAAGACACCAAAGGCCCCTGCCGATTCCTCTCCTAAGGGTAAGGCGAAGGGTAAGGCTAAGGAAGGTAAGGGTAAGGAAGGCAAGCCTGGGGGTAAACCTAAGGTTGCTACCGTAGACCCTCAAACCGCGCCTGCTGGGACCGCGAATGACCAGGCAGAGGCTGCAGCTCCGAGTCAGGGGGATGGCAATGCAGCCATCAATGCAGAAATCTTGAGTGTGCTAAGGTCGATCAAGACCAAGGCCTTGCGGCTTAGTGCTGTGAGCAACCCGACGGGCTACGGCTTGTTGGATAGCGGGGCCTCCGCTTCTCTCCGCCAGGCATCGCCTCAGGAAATCCAGGAGTCCCGCCCGGTGAGCGTGTCTCTCGCGGTCGGCGAGGCTCTGATGCATGTGAACTCCGCCGGGACTTTGTTGGTCAGGGAGTCAGTGCAGCCAATCTTGCCGATGCATGCGTTGCCGCTTTTGGGCTGTGAGATCAACTGGACTGACCGGGGCATTCACGTGCGGCATCCAGGTCTCGGGATCCTCCCGGTGAGACTCAAGGATGGCACTCCTGAGTTGCCAGAGTTTCTGGTGCTTCGCCTGATTGGCGAGTATGAGCGCTTCCTCTTGCGCCGTGAGACCTCAAGGGCCGTATCGCAACAGCTTTGGCAGCGATCAGTTGGCCAGGAGGAGGTTGGGCTTTCGTCCCTAAGGGAGTGGGTTGCAGCCCATGTGGCGGCAGATTCGTGCAGCGAAAGTGAGCTGCAGCTGATCGTTAAGACCCTCTTTCCTGGGCTCCCAGAAAGGTTAGCGTCTCAGGTTGCGGTGAGTCCCACCTTTGATCCCTCCTGCGTTCCTTTCAACCGCCGGACCAGGAGACAGCTGTTTGACCCTCAGGTCCCAACCTTGGTGCATCTGTTTGCTGGAAAGCAGCGGTGGCGACATTCTGTCGGCCAAGTGCTTGAGGTTGATATCTCCAGGGGATCGGACCTTCTTTCTGATGATGTGTTTGGCATGCTGCTGCGGGCAGCCACCCTGGGTGTCATCGATGGGGTCGTATGTGGCCCGCCAAGCAGGACCTTCAATCCTGAAGCCCTGGCGTCCTCCTCTAATGGCTTAAAGTTTCGAGGGGAAGAGGGGGATGATAGGTTTGGGTCTTCAGACCTCAGCCCGTCCGATCGTGCTTTGGTTGATCGGGACACCCTGTTGTTCCTCCGGTCTCTGCTGTTGACCTTTGTGGCCTCGTGTGCCAAGGAGAAGTTCTTCAACTGCTTGGAAATGCCTGAGACTTCCACTGCGTGGGAATGGCCCGAGTATGAGAATGTTTCTGTGTGTCTGGGGGGATGGACCGCCAGCTTCGACCAGGGCACTCTTGGCCATCCCTGCTCTAAGGCCACTGCCGTGTATACCAGCAGCTTTCAGCTGTATGAGTCTCTTCATGAGCTGAAGCTTCCTCCAGAGGTGATTGAAGCCCCGGCTTCTAACTTCTACGGCAAGGAATGGGCTCCCGGGCTTGTTAGCCGGGTTCTGCGGGCCTGGGATGACTACTGCTGTGTCAGCTTTGAGCGCTTGCAGGCTCACACCCGTGAGCGGGAAGGACTCCTTCTCAACTTGTGCCAGGAA